TTGCCTGACAAAACATGCCCTATCTAACATAAATTGCTAGGTTAAAATACTACCCACCCTTAAAAATCTCCAAGGTTCAACACTATCATCTCAGCTCTGAATTTTTTCAGTCCTGATGATTTAGCCTTCGAAAAAATTTACCCTGAAAAAAATTGCAACTTCCAAAACCCGACCCTGAAAAATAGGGGCTCCTGCTGGGGGCACCCTGAGCCAACAGCCCCTCAAAATCCGTTATGAAGCCGTGAGACTCATAGATTTTTTTTTTTCCTGAGCAGACTGAGTTATAGTGACGGAAACAATTGTCCGGATGTTTTGCATTAATTAGGTTTTTTGGGCTTTTCAACCGCTGTACATAAAGTCTTAATGATTAATGATGGTACGCTTTCGGAGGGGCACATAGTGGATGTGTTCACAGCACCAAAATCCATGATAGTACACTAGATCTAACTTAGTGCCAAAAGATATACAAAGAGTACATCCGGACAATTATTTCCCAGGACAAAGAGCAAACTTCCGCGCAGCGTTTCTAGTACCTAGTCCACCAACAGTTGGCCTTGATTACCACTTGCACCCTCCTAGGCATGTTATCTACGAGGTTAGTGCAAACCTTTACAGGGATCTTCTTGCACTCTTCTTGGACCCACGCTTTTGCATAAGGGGGTGAGCACTAGGAAAATTGCGAAGGATTTGAGCGTGTGCAAGAGTATTGTGAACGGTTTCTAACTGAATGTTATCTCTGAGACTAGCCTCGCTGAGGTGTGGCCAAAGATGCCATAAGTCGATTGACTCCGTCTTATCACGGATCGTCTTCGTCGTACCGTTGTAGGGTAAAATTACGAGCAGAGTGGTGAAAACTATCGTATCTGTCGCGAAACTTAGGGTAACATAGCACGGTCGACTGTGCACCCTTGCACTATTAGAATCACGCTAGGATCTGTAGGTCTCGTCACAGTGCAGCAGTCGAAGAAGCCGCGACTGTTCAGAAAGAATATCCTGTTTGAGGTCTGCTGAGGAAAAGGGTCACTCCAGCGCAACATACTTATACTCTCCAAGCCATTCCAAGCCATGTGTCCCGCCTAGGCTTGGAATGGCTTGGAGAGCATGAGTTTATAGCACTCGAGTGACCCTCATCCTCACCAGACCTCAACCGGGATATTCTTCCCCACCAGTCGGGGCTTCTTCGGCTGCTGCACCGTGACGAGACCCGTAGATTTTAATGTGATTCTATTAGTGAAAGGGTGCATAGTTGACCGTGCTATGTTACCCTAAGTTTCGCGGCAGACACGCTTGTTTTCGCCACTTTGCTCGTAATTTTACCCTACAACGGTACGACGAAGACGATCCATGATAAGATGGAACTAATCGACTTATGACATCTTTGGCCACACCTCAGCGTGGCTAGTCTCAGAGATAACATTCAATCTGAAATCGCATGGTACTTATGGAGTCTTTCTTGATTTCTTGGAGGTTCTTAGCGCATGCTTTAGTAGTGAATTCATGCTTGCAGGGTGAATCGGGTCAGGCAGGCAAAATTGCAGGGGCCGAGGGAAATTTCGCCCATACAAAGCTCTAAGGCAAACATCGGGCACAAAATTTGGCTAAGGGCCAAATGCCCTCCCTCACACTGCCCCCACGCGTCGAGCCACGAATTTGGTGAAGGGCCAATAAGCGCCCTCACAGAGCCTAGAGGGCGGGCCAGAACCTCGGAAATCTTTGCAGGCCCCCAGGTCACGCATTGACGGAAACAGGTACAGTTTCGTTGCAAAGCTGAAAATTAAGGATTCATTAAGAAAACTTTGCTCAACAATTATAGTTGACCCCCCAAAAAAGGCTGAAAAAACAGGAAATGCCTTTAAGAAAATCCTGGACATTTAGGACTGGTACCAGCAACAACTCTATTTTTTTCCTGAATCAGGAAAAAAATCCTACAATCTAGGGGCCTGGTCGTAGGGAACAGCATGCTACGCTTTCCCCACGCGTTGACATCTCTTGACTGTACAGTTGGCTAGAATCATGTATTTGTCGCCCTAGATTGCGCTTGGATTCATGCGCGATGTTGGGTGATCCGAATGCGAATGCTTATGTTTCTATCATGTCGACCTGAAAAGGGTGGAGGGTGTTATGAAAAAACCAAAAATCGATTTGCCGGATGTTGGAAGTGGGGAATTTGTGATAACACCCACTGGAATTAAACACCCGGCGAGTGTTCAATTTTAAGGGGTGCACTATGCGGGGGATAACAGTCCCAGTCCCTTTTTTTACGATGAGACATCTGGTCGCAAGTGCGCACAACTTCGCGCCAAACGAAATGAAAAAAACAAAAGCTGCCCTCCCATTGGTCGGATCTAAACACATGAGCTGTCTGGTGCGAGAATGTGCACGCAAAACAAGAGTGTAAATTTACACGTCGGCAGCCCGTCGCACAACATGTCGCTTGATTGAGTGACGAGCAGGGCCTCAGATTGCAGGCTCTTTACCCAGATTCAGGGTAAAATCAGGGCTTTTTTGGGGGGTTATCCTGATGAGACATGATTTTTTAAAGACAGAGCCCTGAAATTTCAGGGTTTTTTTAAGAGTGGACAATGATCGATCAGCGTGCCTAGTGTAGTGTGGCCTGTTTTTCTAGCGTTGTATTGGAGCCCGACCGTGATTCTTGTAATAGCGGATTCCTAGCCCCAACCCCCCCACCCCCTGATTTCTGTGAATCCCCCCCCACCCTCCCCGTCAATCACGCCGACTTGAGTGTGACCGACCAGATTTCAGCGCCAAGGATAATATTCTGCCATTCTACATCCAGCACATAGTGCTTGGCGGGTTCTCATTGGCTGTTCGAAAGCAGCCAGCCACTGCTGTCTCCAGCACAGCGTAGCTGCAGGGTTTGGATTGGCTCATTGCCAAATTACAGCCACAGCAGCCAATAGACCAAGTCTAATGTTAGACAGCTGGCCCACCAGCAGGGCAGTAGTGTCAGAACTCAGTCACTAACCACTGAGTTAAAAGGGCTTGTTTATAGCGGGTCAGTGCGCCCATAGCCCCCCAGGCTCTGCACCTGTGGCCCTTCCCCGAGGATCTTCTCAAGGGTAACCTCAGCGGGTCTCTCAACTAGTAGACCGCTACTCACCCGCTTCGTGAACCACATCCATGCATGCAGAACTCTTTTGCGACCTGCGTGCCCTCCACAAACCTCAAGAGACCCCATCATCTTCATCTATCTCTTCAATCGATGCACTAGCTGTGCTGCCACACCTGCTGCCTCATTCAAGTTGAGTGCTTCCACCCCCCGTCATTCCGTTTCTCCTCTACGAATGCGACTGATTTTCTTACCGCTGCCATCCCACGATGGCAGCACCTAGCGACGGTGATCCAAAAGGCGATGATGGTAGCATTCCTCATGCAGACTTTCTCCTCTCGACACTGTCTAGCCTCACCCGCATCCCGATTAGAACCGATGCCGCGCCTAGAGATCAGGAACGTGCAAGAAAAGAAGTAGCCGACTCAGTTTCCGATGTAGTCGTTCTTCCTGAGCAGAGTCCTAGGCCCGGTCCGTCGGCACCAGCCGCCGTCGAGCGCCCTGCTACCACGATGACTACTCCCAAGCGCCTTGGTCGCTACCGCCAGGCCAAGTTACCGTTCGCGAAGCCGAAGCCGGGAACTGTCGAGCCGCCGGCGTTGATACCTGCTGATGACAATGAAGAGCCATCTGACGACGAGACACCTTCAACCTTCAGGAAGTCTCTGACCCCTTCCGAGCTTTACGCTGAGGCTCTTTCCCGTTACAAGTCGAGGTGGCAGGAGCAATTTCCCTGGCTCGTTTGTGTAAAACTAACGATGGGCGCCCTGCCTTTAAGTGTACCATCTGTCTGGAGCATGCAAGGCTCTCTGGAAGGACTGGTCGTCATGGGCCAAGAATCACAGATGCACAAACAGAAGCGTTCGAGAAGCAAAACGTTCTGCTGCAGGATGCGACTACCCAGACGCGACTCGATCAGAACCCGCACACCGCGGATTTGGAGAGGGAGCGAGTGACTGCGCTTCATGACCTGCTGTACACTTGCTACAAGACCAACGAATCCATGTGTTTTGGATTAAGGACGGAGTCTAGGTGAACTTAGGAGCTAGAATTACTCTAAATATAAATCCGAAATTCTTGACAGAAAAGTCGTTTTCACAAGAAACGACGTCGACAAAAAACTGGCTGTTGGAATGTCGCGAAACTCGGATATGATGTATCTTGTAATCTTAGCTACCATTCTCAATTTAAATCACGTTGATTGATGGAGAATTCGCGACGCCATGTCTTTCGACGCACTAGGGGGTAAGCTGTAGGAGGAGAACTTAACTCAATCTCAAAAGTTCAATCAAAGTTCAAGAATCTTCATAGCTTTCGCGTTCTTGCTCCGATTGAAGCGATTCTTGTTGCGTCGGAAAGATCTTCTCAAGATCTATCATCACAAATACCTGCTCAAACAAAAATAACACAAAACACATTCCCAAACTCCAGAACACACACCACACAAATTCTTTCACACACAGTCAAACCATACATGCGAATTGAAACAAGGGATGGGAGGCAGACAGAATGTGATAGCATATGATGACATCACACAACAATCTCCCCCTCTGGCTGCCAACCATCAACCACCATACCAACATCTCAAGCATGCATACTCAATGCACACTCATCCCAGCAAGCTTCATGCCCTTCCAATGATCCGCCTCCGCCAGACGCTTAGTGAAAATATCTGCTGCCTGCTGATGGGTCTTCACTATCTCTAGCCGCACCTCCTTATCAAGGAGTCTCCTCACCCAGTGCCACTTAGGCCTTATGTATTTTTTCAGCCCATGCAGACAAGCATTCTTGGCGAGCTTCACAGCAGACTCATTGTCACAAAACACAACTGTCGGCTCCTCCTGACCAACTCCCAACTCCTCCAACAAGCGTCTTAGCCACACCACTTCCTTGGCCCCATGGTGTAAGGCCATGTACTCAGTCTCACATGAGGACAATCCCATCTCATTCTGCTTCTTGCTGCGCCAGCTCACAGCACCACCTCCTAGCAAGCACACATAACCCCCAATGCTGGTGCCGTCCGCTTTCACTGAGTTGAAGCTAGCGTCAGTATAGCAACTCAAGAGTATCTCTCCACTCTTCACATCCGCAGCACCTCTCTGCAACCGCTGCCTCACTCCACTGTACTCCAATCCCACTGATGCCGTAGCGCTCACATAGCGGACCAACCTCTTGGCCGCTTCCAGCTGCTCATGACTAGGGCGTGAGACCACACTAGCCAACCGTGATGTCGCAAATGCAATGTCAGGCCGTGTATGATTTGCAGCAAAATTCAGCGACCCAACCATCGAATGAAACAGCTTCCTGTCATTCTCACCCACTACCTCCTCATCAGCAGATGGCTCCACAGTAAACCCCGAAGGTAGTGGTGTTGCTGGCTTTCCCCCATCTTGCAGCCCATACTTCTCAGCCAGCCCCTCACAGTACTTCCTCTGGTGCAACCTCAGCACACCCTTTTCCACATCTCTCTCCACATGCATCCCCAGGTAGTACTTCACCTCACCCATCTTGGAACACTTGAACTGCATCTCCAGCATCTGCTCTGCACTGTCCAACAAAGCAGTTGATGCAGAAAAGAGAAGGATATCATCCACATACACCAAGAGCATGAGGATTTCATCCTTCTCCTGCAGCAGGAACAGGCTGGGATCACACTCACTCTTCTTGAAACCCCCAGCCAACAGCGCCTCCTCCAACTTGTAATACCATGCACGAGGCGCCTGCTTAAGGCCATAGATGGCCTTCTTCAGCCTGCAGACCCTGCCGCTCCCATCATCCAGCCCCTCTGGCTACTTCATGTACACCTCCTCCAGAATGATCCCATTCAGAAAGGCAGTTACAATGTCCATCTGCCGTATCTTCCATCCCAGGAGTGCAGCTATCGCCAACAGTACCCTCAGTGTTGTTCCTTTCCCCACAGGAGCAAACACCTCATCATAGTCCTTCCCCTTAGTCTGCTGAAACCCCCGTGCCACAAGCCTAGACTTGTAGCGGGCCAGCTCCCCTTCAGGTCCATACTTGTGCCTGTAGATCATCTTGGAACTGATTGCCTTCTTCCCAAGAGTCAAGTCACACAGGTCCCATGTCTCATTCTCAATCAGGGACCCGAACTCCTCATCCTCACTCGCCTTCCACTTCTCCCCATTTGGTCCATTCAAGGCCTCCTCTCGCGTCTTGGGCTCAGGGATTGGTGCCCAGTAGCAGTGAGCGATCTCATCTTCCTCAATCTGCTCAACCACACTCCCAGCCTGCACCACATTCGCCTTGCCTCTTCCCCCATAGGTAAGCCTCACTAGAGGGCGCACATCCCTCCTAGGTCGCTCAGGCGGGTGTGGAACTCGAGGTGGAGACTCATGCTGCTGCTGCTGCAACTCCACTTCAGCTGCTCCCCCTTCCTCAGTCACCCCAGACATCTCCTCCTCAGACACTGCAACCTCCACCTGTCTTGAAGGCTGCTGCACCTCATCTGCCTCCACAATGAGCGGTGTAGATGGAAGCTTCTGTTGCTGCTGCTTCCATTCCTTGTAGTACAGGGACTCAAGAAACTTCACATCCCTTGACACAGTCAGCTTCTGGGTGGTCAAGTCCTATAGCAGCCACCCCTTGTGATATTTTGCAATCCCCAAGTGCACACCCCATCTTCCAGAAGCCTCCAACTTCCCCCTTTTCTCCTTGGGCATATGAAACACCACCATGCACCCAAATGCCCTCAGCATGTTCACAGCTGGAGCACTCCCATACCACTTGACATATGGGATCCACTCCTTATCCCCAACTGTAGCCGGCACCCTGTTCTTCACAAGGGCGACCTGCCTCAGTGCAGACACCCAAAACGGATCAGGCAGCCCTGCACGCCCAAGGAGAGTGCGTGCCCCCTCCTGCAGGGTCCTGTTGAACCTCTCAGCCACGCCATTCTGCTGCGGGTTGTAGGGCACTGTCAGTTGATGTTGGATCCCCTTCCTCTTCAACTACCCCTCAAAATCAGCTCCAATGAACTCCCCACCATTGTCACTACGGATCACCTTCACCTTGTGTCCGCATTCCCTCTGAGCTCTAGGCATCCACTCCTTAAGGACAGCCGCTGCCACCTCCCCCTTGCTCTTCAAATGGTAAACCCACACTGCCCGAGTGTGGTCATCCACAATTGTCAAGAAATAGTGGCTGCCTGAGAGGGAAGGGGCTCTTGTGGGCCCCACCACATCCATGTGCACAAGTGCAAGTGGGGTCTTGGCTGGTCCTGTAGCGCTGTTGAAGGGGAACTTGGAGAACTTGGTCTCCAAGCATGTAGGGCAGCTCCCAATCTCCTTCACTCCCCCTTTCACCTCCAAGCCTTTCAGGCTCCCATCCTTCACCAACTTCTGCAGCATAGGGAAGTTCACATGACACAGCCTCTCATGCCATGTCTCCGAATCGGCCTCACCATTCCTTGATGAAGCCTTAGCCCATGCCGCGCTCGCATCCACACCAGCAAGCACCTCACCATGTGTCTGCTGCTGCTGCTCTTTCTTGACTGCTTCCAGGACCCCATCAGTTGGTGCAGTTGCATCTCCTCCTGCTGTTGCCTTTGCCGCTGCTACCGTTGCTGCTGTTGGAGTCTTCCCATTCCAAGGGATGATGGGCAGCTGCCATAGATCCTTGATGCAGCTGGTCTCCTCTTCCAGACTCCACAGCACCTTCTTCCCAAGCTTAGCACGGCAGCTGGTTGGTCCAAAGGTCACTTTGGCCTTGCTCTTCTGCAGTCGCCGCACAGAGAGAAGGTTAGCAGACAAGCCTTCAACCAGCAGAACATTCCCAAGCCCCACAAGTTCCCCATTAGCTCCCTTAACCTTGGCATTCCCAACACCAATGACAGGGAGCAAAGCACCTGACGCTGCTGCCACATACTTGATCCTCCCAAGGGGTTCTACCTCATCAAGCAAATCTGCCCGTGGGGTCATGTGACTGGTGCAGCCTGAATCAATCACCCAGTGCGTGAGAAGGTGCATCACAACCTTTCCCACAGATCCCACATCACCCTCATGCCCATGCACATCCTCAACAATGAGAAGCATCCCAGGATAGGCATTACCTTGTGCACCTTCACCTTGTGCACCTGAGCCTTGCACAGCGCCACCTTGTGCGCATTCACCACTTGGCGGCTTCATGCCTGTAGGTGCCCATCCCTCCGGCCTGCTGAAGCACTTGAACCAAGGATGCCCGACCTTCTTGCAGTACCAGCAGGTGCCCTCCATTCTGGTACTCCCCCTGCCACTAGAACTCCCATGCCCCTCATTATAGTCACCTCAGCCTCTACCTCTGCCAAAGCTCCTCCCACGGCCTCGGCCTCTCCAACCCCCTCTTCCTCTGCCACGCCCTGCAGCTCCATACCCCTCAGCAGTCTTAGTGGAAGCACCACCTTCCACATGGCGTCTGCGGAAGTCCTCCTGCAGAATCTGCTGCCTTAGCCATTCAGGTGTCCATTGATCTTGCTGAGAGTTGAGGGTGGGGATGAGGTTGTCCCAAGAGTTGTCCAACACCGAGATGATCTTGGTGCACTGCTGCAGCTGAGATACACTGCTGCCCGCTGCTGCCATCCTTGCATAGGTGTCCTTGATCTTGTCAAGGACCGGCTTCACATCGTCCCCTGGTCGCATGGAGATGGCAGCAAGTTCCTTCTCGAGCACGATCACCATCGGGAGAGTGTTGGGCTGAATCACATCGCGTAGTAGTTTCCACGCCCTTGGACCTGAATCATCCGCTTCCACAAGATCCTTGATGTGCTCGAACATCTCCTTGTTGACCGATTGAAGGATGAGGTCGAAAAGCACCGCGCTTTTCTCCATCCACCGTTCACGTGCTTTGCCTTCTTCCGGCATCTTCTCCTCCCCAACAGCAATCTTCAGTAGCTTGTAGCGTTTGAAGGCACTCCTCATCCGCCCGCTCCATTCCTCATAGTTGGAGCCATCCAAAGCTTCAACTTTCGATGGCGGCGGCTCACTTGTCTTCTCAGGTACAGCTCCTCTTCCATTAGCATCTCCTCCTCTCTCATTCATCTTCTCCTTGAGAAATGACGAATTTCAGCTCCCCTTTGCTGTCCACACTCAGCTCCCTCGATATTTTCAGAAGTGTCGGCGTCCACGAAATTTCGGCAGAGTTTCCCCTTAGCGGAAGACACATCCAACCTTTAGAACACCACTTAGGCACACCCACAGGCCATGGTGGGTCTAGAAGGGTCTTCACACTTCTGTAGACTCCTCTCAATGTCCTTAATATCGCTCTGATACCACTTGTTTTGGATTAAGGACGGAGTCTAGGTGAACTTAGGAGCTAGAATTACTCAAAATATAAATCCGAAATTCTTGACAGAAAAGTCGTCTTCACAAGAAACGACGTCGACAAAACACTAGCCGTTGGAATGTCGCGAAACTCGGATATGATGTATCTTGTAATCTTAGCTACCATTCTCAATTTAAATCACGTTGATTGATGGAGAATTCGCGACGCCATGTTTTTCGACGCACTAGGGGGTAAGCTGTAGGAGGAGAACTTAACTCAATCTCAAAAGTTCAATCAAAGTTCAAGAATCTTCATAGCTTTCGCGTTCTTGCTCCGATTGAAGCGATTCTTGTTGCGTCGGAAAGATCTTATCAAGATCTATCATCACAAATACCTGCTCAAACAAAAATAACACAAAACACATTCCCAAACTCCAGAACACACACCACACAAATTCTTTCACACACAGTCAAACCATACATGCGAATTGAAACAAGGGATGGGAGGCAGACAGAATGTGATAGCATATGATGACATCACACAACAATCTCCCCCTCTGGCTGCCAACCATCAACCACCATACCAACATCTCAAGCATGCATACTCAATGCACACTCATCCCAGCAAGCTTCATGCCCTTCCAATGATCCGCCTCCGCCAGACGCTTAGTGAAAATATCTGCTGCCTGCTGATGGGTCTTCACTATCTCCAGCCGCACCTCCTTATCAAGGAGTCTCCTCACCCAGTGCCACTTAGGCCTTATGTATTTTGTCAGCCCATGCAGACAAGCATTCTTGGCGAGCTTCACAGCAGACTCATTGTCACAAAACACAACTGTAGGCTCCTCCTGACCAACTCCCAACTCCTCCAACAAGCGTCTTAGCCACACCACTTCCTTGGCCCTAAATCCCGTTAGATTCCTAAGCTTCTTATTCTTACCTTCGATCCTTACCAACCATTAACGACGAGATTTATTCTGTTATTAAACACAGGTATGGTTTCGGGGAGTTCATGCAATCCACCACGACCTGGCTGCACACCACCCAGCTAGAGCACCTCCTACAAAGCCCGTTCATCGGACTTAGCCTCGATGAGAGCACGGACCATTGCAGAGGAAAGCACGTAGTCTTCTGCACTTTCATCCAGGACCACCGCATCATCACCGAGTACCTGGCGCTGCTCAGCGTTGACAAGGCAGACGCCTCTTCTCTACTCGCTCTGTTGCTCTCCCACCTACAGGCAATCAGTGTCGATCTTTGCCGCATCTCGGGCATCAGCACAGACGGGGCGGCGGTGATGATGGGCTCGAAAGCTGGCCTGGTGACTCGACTCCGGATGCGTATCCCTGACCTGGTCTCCTGTCACTGCATCGTTCATCGGTAAGTATCCATTTTTGCATTATTAAGTGTCTAACACTTTGCACAGATGCTGATTCGGGACAATACTAGCTGTCACTCATGCTGGTTTGTTCGGTTTCTCCCCGTGTTCTCTTCCGTGTGCAGAGAGGCGCTGGCAGCTAAGGCGGCGGTGGAGGACATGCCGTTCTTCAAGATCATCGATGATGTCATCAAGGAGCTGGCCGAGTTCCTCGGTCGCTGTGGAACGTGGCACCAGCGCTTCCTCGACCTCCAAGGCATCTTCCTCTTGACGTGCTTGGAGTTGCAGGGTATACACCAAGTCAGATGGCTCTCACGCGGTGAGGCCATCCAACGGCTGGTGAAGGTCTTGCCAGCCATCGTCGTCATGTTGTGTGAGTTTGCCGACGACCGTCTTTGCAAGATTGTCACGAGCTACAGGTTCTGGTTTGTGCTCATGTTTCTTGCTGATGTTCTTGAGCAGATGAACATTCTCAACAAGACTTTCCAGGCTCGTGAGGTAAGTTTCGTCATATGATGTTCCTAAACCACTACTGACGCACCATTGTTATCTTACTTGTATTCTCAAACCCGTTCCCGCAGCTGGACATGTCCATGATCCACGCGTCGGTCTCCCACGTGACGCCCCTCCTCGAAAGCCGCTACGTCGACTGGGGCCGAAAGACCTGCTCCCGGCCTTCCTCACCCATTACGGTCCTGGCGGTACGCGCAGCGTCACCGTTGAGGGCGTCGACTCCGATGGGCGATTCAGCTTCGGCCTGCATGAGGAGCCATTGGATGGCTACCCGGGTGAGGGAAAGCACGACGATTGTGCCGTGACGTGCATGGCGCTGGCCGAAGGCATGGTGCAGAACCTGGACGAGCGACTGGGGGACTTGAAACAGCTGGGTGGTTCGATGCTGTTCTGTGCGGACCAGTGGCCAAAAGGGTGGGAACGTGCTCCATGGAAGGCCCAATGTCTGGAGTAGTTCGGGATGATGGTCGACCTATGCAGGGGAAGCTGAAGAGATTCTTCCAGGTATCTCACCTGTCCTTGACCCCGAGGCTTGCACGATTTTGTTGATGTGTTTCTGCTCTACCCTATTTTACTAATACTCCCCTCGTTCTCCCTCCTACCCTTCCCCTACTGGCAGGTGTCATCAAGCGAGCGGCTATGCTGGAGATCCCCCATTTTTGCCTTGTCCTTGCCGCCCTGCAAAAGAGTGACAAGGGCTTCTACATCGGCTTGATGACCATCCTGAAGTCTCTAGACTGGGAGGATAGCTTCCCCAATCTCGTCAAGCAGTGGTGTGCTAAGGCAGTTCTTCCCCTGAGCACAGTGGAATGTGAACGGGGGTTTTCCCGCCATAATGTGATTAAGAGCTGGCTGCGGGGCAGCATGAAGGACTCACGCCTTGGAGATTTGATGCGTATGAGCCTGCTAGACTACGAGCCGGACTGGGATGCCGTCATTGACATCGGGAGAGCCTACAAGAAGAGGAAGCCCTACAGCACTGCCCCACGGAGCAGAGTCCAGAAGAGCAGAAAGGGGAAAGAGAAGGACGACGATGCCCCTGTAGCCCATGATAGTGTGCAGGCAGGAGGAGGATGCATCCTACTAGGACCTACTATCATGATAGGATGCATTATAGGACCTAGCATGATAGTAGGTCCTACTATGCCCATGCTAGGCTGTAAAACCTTGCTTAAAAAAAAAAAGTAATAATGGGCATGTAGTTGAACATCATGTTTTTTTGTAGGTAACTCTGCTTATTCAACGCAGAATATTTAAAACACCCAGATTGACCAGCGTAATTTTCTTTGCGAGGCCTGAAAAAATAGTGAGGTTAAGGGGGGGGACCCTCAGCGATCTGCGTGCCCCAAAACCAACCTGAGGCTCTGGCAACGAGGGTGGCGAGAGGGTGTCGGGAGTCAACAAATATCTTTATATAGATTAGCTAGGTCATGTTTCTTTATAGCCTAGCTAGTATAGTTCTTAACAAGTACAACCCTTGTTTTGTATCCCTCGATATTTTCCCTTAGCACACTTCTTTTCTCGCGAGAGTGCCATTCTCAATTTCGCGCACCTTCTGCCCTCCAATTTCGCACTCCATAGCTTCGACTTCCCCCCCCTAGCGTTCGCACTGTTTCGTACGGCAGCCAGTAGGCCAACACACTAGCCAGCACGCCCACCAGTGCACTAGCCAGCCCGGTAGCCAGCGCGCTAGACAGCACGCCAGCCTTCGCGCCAACCAGCTCTCAAGGTAACAAATTAACTAGAATGAGTGATACAGTGTGGTTTTGTGCTGAAGGGTTGTAAGAGTACACACCTATCTAGCCTAAAATAGCATATACATATATGTTTGACACACCCCCTAGGCTAGACAAGGGGTAGTGCATGGCAAGAGACATGCAGCTCAGGGTGGCACTACTATTCCAACCTCTGAGGCAAGGGTCCGAAGACCAGTCAACTGGAGTAAAACCTAAACAAGAGTAACTCAGGGCGGCACTACTAGTCCAGCCACTGGAACAAGAGCCACAAGGCCAGTCAAGATAATCTAAGAATAAGTACACAATTAGAGTCCTAGCAAGTGAGAAGATACAAGAACTAGACCAAGCTGTACACAATGCCGCTGATGATCTTTAGGCGCAAGCGCCTTAGTAAAGATACCAGTTGTTTTGGCACCGGAGGCCAAGTGTACTCTGAGGGCCTGGCGGCTCTGCTGTAGCTCACGCAGGAGGAAGTACCGCAGCTGGATGTGCTTCGCTCTGCCCTCTAGTCGAGGCTCCAGACACAGGAGGATCATGGCCCTGTTGTCAGCATACAGGACCGGGGCAGAGCTAGGCCGCTCACCTAAGTCTGTGGGCAAGAAAGTCAACCAGCAGAGCTCCTGTGCCGCCATGGCACCAGCGTAGATCTCAGCATCACAGCTAGACTGCGCAACAGACAACGAGCGGGTGGACCTCAACGAGATGGCGCCTGCACCAAGGCTAAAGCAGAAGCCCTGGGAGGACCTGAGTGTCTCATCGTCGTCCGCCCACGAAGCGTCTGTGTGCCCTGTAAGGACCACTGGCTAGTGTCCTCCTAGCACTAGCCCCATGCCCGATGTACTTGCTAGGTAACGCAGAACCCTCTTCGCGGCCGACCAATGTTGCGGTCCGTGTCTGCCTGTGGCCACAAACCAAGCCAAGATGCAGAGAGGGTAGCGACATCTGGACGAGTGCAATTCATCAGGTACATAAGGCAACCCACCAGCTCTGCGTACGAACCACTAGGCTCTACTGACTCCTCAGGGACTGGAGCCAAGAGCCCGCGATCTATTGGCAGAGGTGTGGGCTGTACAGAGGAGAACTGAAGACCGAACCAAGTGTGACTGTGTGAGAGTTATGGTGCGCGCTGCTCTGTCCCTGTAGATTTGCAGGCCAAGGTAGCGGCGCAGCACTCCTAGGTCAGTGCAGGTGTGTCTCCTCAGCAGCTTAGCCTTCACGGAGGCCAGCGCGTCTTTGTTTGCAGTCGGGAAGACCAGGTCGTCTGCATAGACAAGGATGTGGAACGGTGTCTTGCCTGAACGAACAAAGAGTGAAGGCTCTGCAGAGGATGGGAAGAATTGCAGGTCAACTAATATAGCACGCAGCGTGTCATGCCACTCATGGGGCACTTGCCGCAGTTTGTAAACCGGGCGCCGGAGGAGCCACTCGGTCCCAGAGGCGAAGGTGCCAGTGAAGCCTGGCGGACGGCGCATGTAGACCTGCTCATGCAGGCTGGCTTGGAGAATCACTGTAGAGTAGTCGAGGGAGTGCAGCTCATAGTTACGCTGTGTTGCTACGTGTAGCAGCGCCCGAAGAGTGGTCATCTTCGGGGTCGGAGCGAAAATCTGAAAGAAGTCAACACCCTCGCGCTGACTGAAGCCTCTAGCAACGTAGTGCGCCTTGAATATTGGCGGCTCTCTAGGAGGGAGCTTCACCTTGAAGAGCCACCGGCCATCGACTACGTTCACCCTAGGTGGGGGAACTGTGTCGACGTAGGTGTCGGTGGATCTCCAAGATGCCATCTCTGCGTCCATGGCAGCTATCTACTGAGAGGCCGGGGGTCCCGAGGTTGCCACAGCGTAAGTGCAAGGGGTCGGGATGTCAATGGCATCTGGGTCACCCTCAGGGACTAGCAGCATGGAGCGGACATGAGGAGCGGCCTCGGACAGGAAAGCGAGCTCGTACTGCCGGTCCTCCAGGACGTCACTGCCAAGGGCAGGAGCACCCCCGACGGACGGAGGACGGGCGGGGTCAAAGACCAGAGCGGTGGCATAGTCAAGGCAGCAGGTAGAGGCAAAGTCAGTGATGGCAGCGACAAGAGCAGAGACACTAGGGACAGGAACAGACGGGTCGGTAAGGAGGGAGGCAAGGACCCGAGGAACAAGAGGACTAGCGGCACGAAGGAAGTCAGACAGAGGAGGCGGAGCGACAACAAGCGACGACGGAGGAGGCCACGAGAGGAGGGACGAGACACATGGGAACGAAGGAACATAGGGTGAGAATGCAGAGCAGGAGAGACAGGACGAGCAAGAGAGGCACGACGAGACCACCAGTGGGAGGGTGGGGTTGGGTGAGGAGACAAGGGTGGAGAAACAGGAGGAGAACGAGGGGGGAAGCGAGCCGAAGACGGTCCGGCGGAGGAAACACAGGGCCGTGGACAGGCAGGGGAGGCAATTGCGAGGGAGGCGCAGGCAGGTGGTTAGGGGCGGGAAGACCGAGGAGGCAAAGGGCGGACACCGGCGGCGACTGCTTCTGCTGTTGCTGCTGCTTCGCGCTAACACCAGAAACTCCAGCTACACCACGGCTACCTCCGGAACGCTCCACGTCAACACTCCCAGAACGAGTACCCTCTCCAGGACCTATGCCACCCCCAGGACTGCCGTGATGAGCCACGACAGTAACCCCAGGACTAGGACCCCCAGAACCAGCAACCCTAGGATGAGAACCCTCTCCAGCACAAGCCACGACAAGCCCCAGGACCGCCAGGACAAGCCACGACAATACCCCCAAAACTAGCACCCTCCTCAACGCCCGCACCCCTAGAGCTCGCGAACCCCCACGACGGCTGCGGCTGCTGCTGCGGCTGCAACGGCGACGAGGACGACTGCTGCTGCGGCGGCGACGGCGGCGGCTGCTGCGATGGTGGAGGAGGAGACACCGGGGAGGAGAGAGGTGGCGAGAACAGAGCCGCAGGGCCCCCAGAGTCAGCCGACTCCTCTACCGGGACAACCGACAGGAGGGGAGTGACATGAGACACAGGAGACTAGGCAAGACTGGGAGGGAGAGGAGTAGGGGCTACCCGGGAAGTGGGAACCAGGAACAGGGGCAGGGTAACCGGGAGACCACTGTGGGGAAAGCGGGTGTAAAAGGAGACTGACTCATAAAAAATGACATCACAAGAGTGAAAGAAACGATGAGACGGAGGGTGGTAAAAGTGCCAGTCAGACACGTCAAGAGGGAAGCCAAGGAAGACAGAGGGGACAATGCGGGAAGTGAGCTTGTCCATGCCAGAGGCACGAACGTGAGCGAGACAGCCCCAGACGTGGAACGCAGACACATCACCAGGGGACCCGGTCCTGAGGAGGGTCGGCAAAACCTGCGGCCGCTGGGAGTATGGCCACAGGTTAAGCTGGTGAGCGGCATCGCGAACAGCGAACGACCACAGAAAATGGGGTGCACCGGCATGGACCATGGAGGTGCAAGCCACCTCCATGACCAAACCGATGCGTCACTCAGCGACCCTATTCTTTTGTGGGTAGTCCCGCAAAATGTACGACTAGATGATGCCCTCCGCACGACAGAACTGGCCAAGCCGACTGGAGGCGAACTCGCCACAAAGGTCAGAGTAGAGACGCAGCACGGGGAGTCTGCAGTGGACTTGCACAGCTACGACCCATGGGATTAGAATGTTAGGCACGTCGGCCTTCCGCTCCAGGGGAAACACCATGGTGTAGAGCATGTAGTAATCGACAAGCACTAGAAAGTAGCGCTCTCGACTCGGCCCAGGGACGGAGGCTGGGCTGCAGACGTCTTGGTGCAGGGTAGGGAGTGGCACAGTGGTAGGGGGAAGCGAAGAGGAGTGAGGAGCACGGCGCATGCGGCCCTTGAGACAGGGTGTGCACGACGGTGCAGTCGAGGGAGGGAAAGCAGGGAGCGATGCAGAGAGACCTAAGACAAGACCGTACTAGGACATGTGACGAAGACGGGGGAGTGCGTGGTATCCTAAGGGGTGGGGCCACAACTGCGACGGCTGGGTGAGCGAACGATACAAGCAGGCCACAGCGACCTGGGTAGACGCAGGCACCTGGAGGGATGCCCCCACCGGGGGGGACGCGGTGTCAAGTGTAAACAGAACAGACTCTAGGTCCAGAGGGAACGTGGTGAGTGGGGCACCAGTTGCTGCCTTGGTATAGACCGCGTACCGCTCGTGACCGGGGAACGTAGTGGTGACGCCGAGGTCTTGAAGACAGCTGACACCAACTAGGTTCCTAGAGAATGAGGGAATGTGCAGGCCCGTAAGAGAGCTCGAGGGAACTGCCGTACAGGGGAGGGTAGTGGAGCTACGTGCAACTTCCAGATCTGAGAAGGGGTCAGCAAGCGCTACAGCGTCAAGGGCGGCAAGCGGCGTGAGCGCAGTGTGGTCGCGAAAGAAGGAGGTGGACGCACCAGAGTCAAGCATGAAAGAGACAGCAGCGGTAGTGTCCGTAGGCGGAGCAGCTAGAGTGGAGCCGAGGCTAAACAAGGCAGGTGGTCCTATGCCTGACGCGGCAGGGGAACCTAGGCTACACACAATGGACATACCTACACTAGGCAACACATGGTAATAGGGTCGAGTCACACTAGAGTCATCTGCATACATGACATACAGTGGCAAAAACAATTGTCCGTATGTTTTGCATAAATTTGGGTTTTCAGGCTTTAAGACCACTATACATTAAGCCTTAATGTTGGAGAGCCTAACCTAGCGAATGATACCATCTCAGAGTAACGAGCTAAATAGAATAAGTGATACAGTGTGGTTTTCTGCTGAGGGGTTGTACTCTCTAAGAGCACGTTAGCAAGCTCGCTCACCAGCCGCGTTAGCCAGCGCGCCGCCAGCAACTGCTGGCAGCTCCTCGCCAGCAGCATCAGCCAGCTCGCCTCCAGCAGCGTCCGCCAGCTCGCCACCACCAGCTGCTGCCAGCTTCAGCTGCTGCCAGCTTCTAGCCAGCAGCGCTGGCCAGCTAGCCCCCAGCAGCATCCGCCAGCTCGCCGCCAGCAGCTGCTGCCAGCTACTCGGCAGCAGCGCCAGCCAGCTAGCCGCCAGCAGCGTCCGCCAGCTCGCTGCCAGCAGCTGCTGCCGGCTAGTCGCCAGACAGCCGCCGCCACTTCAGCCACCATTGCCGCTGAAACCAATGCTGCTACCGCTGCCACTGCTACTGCTGCAACTGCCGCTGCAGCCAATGCCACTGCCGCAACCATTGCAGCCATAGCCATAATCGCTGCAGCCACTGCTGCTGCGGCAGCCACTGCAGCCACTTGCGCCACTGCTGCTTGCGCTGCGGCCGGTTGCGCTACCCCCGCTGCCACTGCCGCAGCTGCTGCCCTCACTGCCGCTGCTGCAGCCACCGCTACTGCAGCTTGTGCTGCCGTCGCTGCCACTGCCGCAACTGCTGCAGCCGCTGCCACTGCCGCCACTGCCGCTGCCGCCTCTGCCGCCTCTGCCGCTGCAGCCGCCAGCTGCAGCCGCTGCCCTTGCAGCCGCCACTGCAGCCACTGCAGCCACTGCTGCCACTACTACAGCTGCAGCTACGGCCGCTGCTGCCGCTGCTGCCACTTGCGCTGCTGCCACTTGTGCTGCCACCGCTTGCGTTGCCGCCGCTGCCACTACCTCAGCTGCTGCCGGCACTGCCGCTACTGCAGCGGCAGCTAACGCAGCTTGTGCTGCCGCCGCCACCACTGCCGCCGCTACTGCAGCCACTGCCACTGCCGCCGCTGCCGCTGCCGCCTCTGCCGCTGCAGCCACCACTGCCGCCGCTGCCCGTGCAGCTTCCGCTGCCACCGCTGTCCTTGCAGCCGCCATTGCCGCCACTGCCCTTGCAGCCACTGCTGCCACTGCCCTTTTAGCTGCCGCTCCCACCGCTGCCGCTCCTGTCGCCACTGCTGTTGCCAAGAGTCAGCTTTAGCCTCCACCTGCCTGGCCACCAGTAGCCAGTGTAAGAAATAGAGCTGAAAGGATTAATTAGGTAAGGAGCCCAAGGCTATATAAGTACATTGCAAGGTGAGAGAGAATGGATGAAGGGGGGATCGGAGGGAATCCCCAATGGGATCTTCGGAATCTCCAATTGGGTAATTGGAGATTGGGGGGATCACAATTGGGTGAGTTTGAGATTTTGTGAGTAGACAGCAACCCACTAGAAAATTCCTAACCTAAACTAGGATATAAAAGTACAAATACAAAAGTGGGATTTGCAATCTATTTCTAACACACCCCCATAGACTGCAAACCAGGTCATGGAGTGCATAGCCCCATGGAACGGAGAAGGCGATGGTGGTCAGCCTTGCCAAGAGCCTTGGTAAAGAGGTCGGCAAGGTTGCAATCTGAGGCGATGTACCATACCGTCAGCTAGTTACTCTGAACAAGATCTCGGATGGAGAAATGACGAAGTTCGATGTGCTTGGTGCTAGAGTGGAACACAGGATCCTTGGTGAGGTGAATGGCGCTCTGGTTGTCACACCACTATTATAATCACAATAGGCTCAGATGTGCCTATAATGAGAGATAGAGAGCACAGTCGGATTTCCGTCAGACGGCTTCAAATATTGATAACGATCTGCTCGTTGAATCAAACGGTAATATGTAAGCTGGATCTGGAGCGCGTTGCTGTCGTCTATCAGCAGCAAGTTGAATCATGAAATTCCATGAAGATTTGACGATGCTATGGCGGTTTGAGTAGCAGGAGGTAGAGCAGCTACTTTAGTCTTAGAAGTACAAACTTAGCAAGAAGAATTCGAGAGGGAGATGGTTCCCAGCCTCTACATACCCCAAGAGCCAAGGTCCAGGTTGGTGGTACACCACCATAGAGTCCCCAACCACGAAGATTCTCGAAACAAACCCTCCAAGGGGCTACACCAAGTGAAATGTAACACTACACGAAGTAGCGTTACTATTTTCACTATTTAATATTTATCTGCGTCCCTTGGGCTTGAAATCTTGAGCTCTTGGTCTTGGTTCTCCAAGATAAATTCTTCTTGAGTTGATGGGGGCTCGCTGCACGCACCTGTGATGCGATGGACACTTCACACTCGACAAAATAGAAAAAACACATGCGACACGCAAACGACGACTTGACATGCGAGTTGTAAAAACTCGCTAATGTCTTGACCGACACAAACCACATTGTGATACACCAGTCAAACACACACACAAGCACTAGATAGCAATGAGATAGACTCATAATTCATTCCATGCCATGCATGCACACACACAAACAAGGACGACAAGCCGAGTGCAAGCCATAGGGTTGCACCAATAACCACAGGGTGAGCGACTGCTGGGGGTAGCCTAGCTCAGCGAGGAGAAAGGAGAGCCAGCGTGCCTCTTGAGCAGCCATTGTGTCTGCAGAGGACCAAGTGGAGCACCAGTTGATGACCCCGCTACCAAGGGTGAAGCAGTACCCTTGGTGAGAGCGTCTGTTAGTCTGGTTATCGGCCCATGAGGAGTCTGTGTATCCTTCGAGCTTGACTGGAGAGGTACCACCGAGAGAGAGGATGTGAGACTTGGTGGCTTGTAGATAGCGGAGAACCTTCTTGGCTGCAGACCAATGGGAGGCGGTGTAGAGTCCGGAGGAGACATACGGAGAGAGGACACTAACCGGGTAAGCCAAGTCTGGTCGAGTGCACATCATAGCATACATAAGTGAACCGACTAGCTCAGGGTACGGGTCCTTGCAGGCGTCAGGAGAAGGAATCAGAGGGGCCGTGAGCTGATGCTGTAGTGGGAGTGGAGTAGAGACAGAGTTACTGGAGTCCATGTCGAACCGCTTGAGAAGGTTGTCGATGTAGGACTCCTGGGAGAGGGTGATCGTGCAAGCCTGGCGATCACGAGTGATCTCCATCCCCAGGTAGTTCTTGAGGTCACCAAGATCCTTCATGAGAAGGGCGGAGATGAGAGCAGGCTGGACAGCTGCCATCTCGGCTAGATCTTTGGCGACTAGAATGAAGTCGTCGACGTAGACGAGGATGTAGAAGGGCTCGGAGGAATGACAAACAAAGAGACTGGAATCTTAGGCGGAGGGGTGGAAGTCAAGTGCGAGGAGGACTTCCTTCACCTTGTTGTGCCACTCACGAGGAGCCTGCTTGAGGCCATACTCTGGGCACTTCAGCTTCCACACTTTGTTGGCAGGGTAAGTGTCAGGAAACCCCGGTGGACGTTCCATGTGAATATCCTCCTTGAGCTAGCCTTGGAGAAAGGCGGAGGAGACATTCATGGACTTGATCTCGAAGTTTTCGCGAGCGGCTATATCAAGAAGAGCGCGCACAGTCAGGAGCTCGGCCATGGGCGAGAAGGTTTCGAAGAAGTTGAGATACTCCTTCTAGGTGAAACCCTTTGCCATGTATCGTGCCTTGAACAGTGGAGCTTCGCCTGGGAGTTGTTTGACTCAGAAGATCCATTTTCCGCCGACGATGTTTACACCGGAAGGGGGAACAACATCGTCAAAGCTGTTGTTGCGAATGAACGCCTCGTTCTCCACATCCATTGCTGCCTTCCACTCCTTCTTACAAGGCCACAAGAGAGCTTCCTCTTTTGTGCGAGGAGTCGGAATGGTCGGGTTCTCGGTGACGTTGAGGGAAGGGCGATCAGTAATATTCAGGAAGATGTACGAGAGAAATTGGCAGACCGCGTGAAGGTACAACAGCTCCTCATGCCTGTCCTCCAGAAGTGCACGGGGGGGGGATACGGATGGAGGGGATATCACCCCCGGCAGGAAGAGGCAGGGTGACCGAACACCGGATAGAGAAGGCGGCTGGTCCCCAGGCGAGAGGCGGAG